CCCCTCCCCAGGATCACGTGAGCAACGTGCTTCAAGGTCGAGGGTGGCTGGTGCCCCGGAGCTGGGCGGCGGGGCCGCCCCGAGCAGGCCCTGTCTTTAGAGCCACCCTGTGCCCAGCATCTGGAACCATGCAGGGCACATGAGGCAGCTCCATCCATGCTGAATGGATGTTGTTTAGCGGCAGTTCGTTTACCTGTTCTTCTGTCAGGCGTTGTCTTTTCTTGTTCCTTTTTAAGTAATGTTTATATGTTGTTCTCAATCCTGTGTTTTCATGTATTATAGAAGTTAGATTCCAGTCTGTCATTTGTCTTCTTCGAATTATCTTTTTATTTATTTTATTGATTTATTTTTTTGAAATGGAACATCGCTCTGTTGCCCAGGCTGGACAACCTCTGCCTCCTGGGTTCAAGCGATTTTCCTGCTTCAGCTTCCCAAGTAGCTGGGACTACAGGTGCCACCACCACACCTGGCTAAGTTTTGTATTTTTAGTAGAGATGGGGTTTCACCATGTTGTTCGGGCTGGTCTCGAACTCCTGACCTCTGCCCGCCTCAGCCACCCAAAGTGCTGGGATTACAGGCGTGAGCCACCATGCCAGGTCAGAATTATCTTTTTATTTTTACCAAAGTAAATAAATGTACATTCACACAGACCCCCACGATGTTCATGACGGGAGAACGGCCGTCCCTGACTGCCTGTCCAGCCTGCGTTATTACAGCTTGTGTCAGGTTCACAGCAGAACCAGAGTCCACCTGGGCTGCATTCACCTTGTAGAAATTTGTCGGGAAGTTGATTGTTTTTTTTCATTTGCTTAGTTTCACACCTGCCTGTTATTCAGGCCCACATTTCAGCATACCTAGGAGACTCTCCTCCGCACAGCAGGCCGCCTGGTGCGTCTGGCCCCACTGCCCGGTGTGTCTGAATGGTCTGGTCTCCTGGCCTGGCCCCAGCCTCCTCTCCCGGGCTCCATGGCCTCCTTTCTGCAGCCTCCTTTGTGCTTACTTTCCTCTGCCATCTTGGTCATGCACGTCTTCCAGTGGCTCCTGGAGAAGTCGTGCATGGAGCATGAGTTTTTGAAGTCCTCGTTACTGGTAAATATCGTTATCCTGTTACACCCTTGGTTGATCATTTGTTTGGGGACGGAAGTTATTTCCTGCAGGGTTTTCAGGTCATCGTCTTGCCCTCGGTGTGGCTGTTGCCGAGTACAAAACTGTTCTCAAGGCCGAGCCTTTGTCCCCAGAGCTCTGAAGCAGTTTGGGATCCCGCAGGTGGGGGATTCTTGGCCTCCGTGTCCAGCTCCTCTTCAGCTGGAGAAGTAGTTCTGGAGTTTCTGCTCATGATTTTCTCCACCCAGCTGATTCTCTCCTCTCCTGGCGTTTTCAGCAATTTGTTGTAGGATCTTTGCACTCCCATTTTTCATCTTTTTATCCTTTTATTCCCCCTTCTGACAATTCTCAAGTTTTTCTCCAGCCCCTTCGTTCTGCACTTGCGTTTTTGTCCTCTTGTCTTTATCCTCTTTAATACTTCCTTTGGTGTCACTTTAGGATGTCAAGGCAGAGCAGCTGGAAGCAGTTACCTCCTCTCTGCAGCTCTGCCTGAGCACCCTGTCCCACAGCGATGTTCTGTGCATTCTCTGCTGCTAAATCAATGAGTTCTTTCCTCACTGGCTGCTGGACATTGCATCAGGCCCACAAAGATACCGCCCTCCACACTCGTGCCGTGTGCACGCATATCCCCTCTGTAAACCCGGCCGCTAAACAGTTAAAGCATTCCGGCTCTGAGAGCCGCTTCACCTGCAGCTGACTCTCAGGATGTTTCAGTTGGGAGGAGCGAGCCTGTGTCTCCATCAGAATTGCTTCTGGCAGAAGGATGAAGGCACCTGCTAGGCATTGGGCACTGTGTTGAATTTTAAGGTTGTGATTAGAATGTTGTGCCGCCTTAATTAGTCATTTACTTGATTGGCTTCAGGAGAAACGATCTCACCTGCTCCCCGTTCCCCAAGGAGCAGACACTGCATTTGGAAGTACAGTTGGCATCCTTCCTGCCCTCACCCATACGTGGTGGGAGCGACTTTTCCATGAGGCCTCTGGCCTGATACTTTGGTTCTGTCAGTGTACGTGCAGCCCTCTGAGGGGTGGGATCCAGTTCCTGCAGTTCCTCTGCCTGGCCACGTCGTGCCTGGAATGAGTGGAAGGCCCACGAGGGTGGTGAAGGGGCTGCTGCCCTGAGCCGGTGCACGTGCAGCCTCCACCCTCACCGTCACCAGGTACCGGCTTACCTGCATCTTCCACTTTGGCAGAATTATTGGAGTTCCAGGCATTGTGCAAGCTTTAAGACACATGCATTTAGGACTGAAATTGTAGGTCACTATGTCTTAAGTCAATCTATGAGACGCCCGGCCTGGAAGTAATGAGGGAGGGCAGGAAGCAGGAAGGCTGGCCACCCTGAAAGCAGGCAGTAAGCTGGTCCTCGTGGTGTGCAGCTCCCCCAGCTGCCTTCTGCCCCCTAGGCCTTCTCTGTTCTCCCCAGAAAGGCCACTTCATGTGCCCTGGGCAGGCTCCAGTGTCCCCCTTCTCTCCTGGTCCACATGCTGCTGCTCAGTCCCCTCCCCCAGCCCTGCATCCGAAGCCCTGCTTGTCTGATAGGTTCTGGGGGCAAGTCAGAGTGCTGAATAGCCCACGGGGCAGGGAAGAGTGAAGGGCCCCAGCCTCACGCCATGCTGTCCTTGGCAGTGCTGGCGTGGTGTCCTGGAGCCTCCTGGTCAGCCGCAGCCACCCTGCAGGCAGAGCCAACCAGGGACGTGCAGTCAGCTAGAATCAGGGAGGCCAGGCAGGTGTGCAGGCTGGGAGGCAGAGGATAAACAGGTGAGGGGACAGAAGAATTCCAGGTGCTGAGAAGGCAGCTGGGAGGAAAACAGGGCAGTGGGGCTGTGGAGGATCAGGGCAGCCTTGGGAGGGGTGTGGAGCAGAGGCCTGAGGAAGGGGAGGGGAGGGGAGGGGTGGGGTGAAGCAGCCACCACAGGGCTGTCTTCAAGAGTCTCTTGCACAAGGAGTCTGGAGTGCCCGGCAGGGCTGCGGAGGATCTGCGACCCGACCGATGACCTGGGGGCAGCGTGGTGACCCCCACAGGGCCTGGGGGAGGCCGTGCACTGGGCTGCAGTAGCACAGCCAGTCCATGGTGGCCTGGAGTGACCATGTCACGCCTGCCTCCCGATGCCACGTGTCCCACTCCACGTGGCAGGGCAGCCACCGAGGAAGGCCTTTGATACAGGGCCGGGGACCCTGTGCTCTTCTGTGGGCACACACAGCCCCTGCCTCTCAGAAGTGGCTCCTGCCCACCATCAGTGGCTCCTGTCCCCGGCCCGGGGAATCCCTGCAGAGCCCATGTGGGTTTCAGGGGAGATGTGATGGTGGGAGAGGAGGTACCGTTTTCTTGCCTAGTCATCAGCTGGGTTTTTTGGCTTGGCTTTTTTTGTTGTGTTTTATTTTTTGAATAATGGCAAGAAACCCAGTGTGGAAATAGAAGTAGAGCATGTGAATCTATGTTTGCCTCAGTCAGTTGTGTTAGGCACAGAAGCGTGCCCTGGTCAGTAACCCATGGAGAGGCCGGCTTGTGGCTGAACCCGTCATCTGTCGTCATCTAGGTCCTCCGAGCCACAGCACAGAGGCCCCGCTCCCTGCAGAGCAGGCTGAGGCTCGGAGTCTGGCACCTGCTCACAGCACCTCTGGTTTCTCTGGGAAGCCTGTTTTAGGGAGCTTGCTTCTCCCACATCCTTCTAAGACCTGCAGAAAAACTGACCCTGACTCAAAGCCTTTTCCAGAGTGGGAAGGTCCTGGGCTGCCCGCATGTCCCAAAGAGTGAAGTCACATGGGGCCGGGTCCCCGTCGCCCAGCCACATCAGTCCTGCTTCCAGGAGAAACTCCATCTCATTCCTGGTTGCTCTGGAAGCAGTGCACTTCCTGTTCCAGAAAGATTCAGAACAGCAGGAGTGCTGATTCTTTAAAAAGAGGTAAAATCTCCCAATTTGCAAATCTACAAGTGGTAGAACCTTGAAAGTAAAACCTCAGAACTCAAAGGCTTGTGTGGCACACGTCTCCACGGCAGTATTCTTGGCGCTGTTCTGGACTCTGAAAGCCCAATAACCTCTCCCGGGTGGGTTTGAGGATTTCTTTGCCTCCGGTTGCTGCCTTTACATCCCTGGTGCTTCCCAAGGCAGGCCCTGCCCCAGAGGTTTGGGTTCCAGATGCAGATGAGTTGGGAACCACCATGGGCTGGAAGATGCAGATTCACAAATGGCTCTGTCCGCACAGGCAGAGCTGTTCACAGAAACCGACCCACGCCCATTACCTTCACCCTGTGGTCAGATGAGAGGTGAAGCTGGCACAGGTGCTGGGATGGGCTTTGCTGAGCCTCACCAGGTGGGAGTGGGGATAGCAGCCTGACGCTCTGGAGGCCTCACTGACATAGCTGGGGCGATGCATAGGTGAGCAAAAAGTGTGCAACGTGGACACCATCCTCACATCCCTGGGCCCGGTGTCACATCCCTGTTTGTCAGTCTTTGTCTGGTTTTAGAGCAACACAGCTATAAAGATAGGGGTGTATTATCTAGAAGAGCATTAGTTACGAGACATCGCCATTAAGTGACTTCACACCTCAGCAACCCCCTGCCACGCCCAGAGAATCAGCTTGTCAGTCCTGTTTCCCATCTGCTGGAAAGCGCAGTCGTGGCCTGATTCTGTGAAGATGCTGCCAGCGCTTGCGTAATGCTGTGGTCACAGAAGTTTATCCAAAGCACCAGATACATTTTATTCATTATTTGGGACTGATGAATGGGGTTAGAATCCCCTGCTTCGTGAGTTCCCGTCGCTGTCCCCTGCAGCAACATGGCAGTGTTGAGCGAATATGTATTCCCCAGAGTGCATATTTTTAAAAAACCACCAACAGGATAACCTTGAGCCCAGTGGTATCTGCCTGGCTGTAATGACATCTCCTTTCCGTGCAGCTTCTGAACCGAATCTGAAATTACGGTCCAGGCTAAAGCAGAAAGTGGCCGAAAGACGGAGCAGCCCTCTGCTACGCAGGAAAGACGGGCCAGTGGTCACTGCTTTAAAAAAGCGTCCGTTGGATGTCACAGGTATGTCAGCTGAGCAGGTACACCTGCCCCACTGCCCTCTCTGCCAGGCCTTCCTGTCCTAGGCGGTTTCTCTCGGGAGCCTGTGAAAACCCACGTGTCTGCCTGATGCTGTCAACCCCCAGTGTGGTCCTGTTCCCATGACGCTGGAAGTGCCAGGCCCAGGGGACGAGGCTTGATGACTCTAGGGTGTCTAAGCCAGGCCCCGCTCTCGGCGTTAGTGACTCAGAGCTGGTTCTAGTTGGGCTCAGGTACACGAGGGTGCCCCAGCTTGGCACTGTGGGAGATCCGTTCAGGAGCTTGAGTTGCGGCTTCTCTGAAGGTGGATCTTAACCAGTGCCGTCCTAGTAGTGCTGAATCGTGTTCCCTGCCCTGCTCTCCGCTGTCCCTGAGCGGTGTCTGAACCACCGGGACATTTTAACGTCTTCCCACACCGGAGCACCCATCAGCTGAGCAGGAGAGGGAAGCAAGGAGTGAAGTTGCTTCAGCCTGGCCCTAGTGACGTGTCACGGTTGGCCCCATCTAGTGGTGGATACGCGGAAGGACAAGACTGGGCAGAGCGCCATCCTGAAGGCTCAGCCGTCCCTCTCGAGGGCATATCCCCGTCCAGAGCACCACCCACCCACAACCACCACCAGGGGACACCCCCTCACCCACTGCTCCTGAAATCACAGCACCAGGATAAAGGGGCTGCTTGGGGACAGCCTGGATAGAGGGGAGGCAGTGGACATGTTTGCACAACAGAAAGCGTTCGATTTGAAGGCCGAGGCTCATGGTAGCTGGTCTGTGAAAGGCATAGTTCCACTGAGCAGGCTGTTGGCCTAGGGAAGGCTGGGAGGGGGCTCCTGGTGCCATGCCCTGTGCGTGTGAGCGTTGGCATTGCACATGGACTCTGCTTCTGCAGTGAGGTGAGAGCCAGACCTCCCTGCTGAACACAGGGCCCTGCCTGTTTCTCGTGCCCTGTCCCCTGTCTACTTTAGGAGCTCTTAGCCCCAGTCTAAGGGTCTGGGTCTGGATATTTGTGGATTTCTATTAAAAAGTATCTGACAGCTTCATGCCCGGGGGAACTCCATATTTGTCATTTCTGATGTAGGTTTCTTTCCTCTGGCCATTGTAGTACACACAGACCTTGTCTACAGCCATCAAGAAATGTTATAATCTACAGTTTCACTATGTCTAACTGACTGGGGAAGATTCAGTTCCAATGAGGAATCATGTGAGTTAAAAGCTTGCAAACTCCAATGCAGCCTTTTTTCTGTGAGCAGTGCCTTGCTTGGCCAGCTCTAATGGACCCGTGAACCGTTGCATTTTGTTTTTTGTTTTAAGCGTGCAGTGGGTGAGACAGAGTCTTCAGCAAGCTTCTTCTGAGTGTTAAAGCTAGTGTTCCTGTTGTCACCCAGTGACTACCGAGAACTGTTTTTGAGTCAGCACTGGGCTTGGCACAAAAATAGTGAGACAGAGTCCTTGCTTGGAAGGAGCTTGTGATCTAATTTGAGCAAGCAGCACATCACACGTGAGACCGTCCAGGAGCCGTGAGTGACAGGGCCTGATCACTGCTGAGCTCACCCAGGAGTCATGCGTGACTATGCTCCAACTGACTGTAAGTGATCTAGTCCACTCTATAGAACTCATGAAAGAAAGCTTCTGCAAACTCCAATGCAGCCTTTTCTGTGAGCAGTGCCTGCTTGGCCAGCTCTGGGCATGGACCCGTGAACCGTTGCATTTGCTTTTGCTTTAAGTGCAGTGGGTGAGACAGAGTCTTCAGCAAGCTTCTTCTGAGTGTTAAAGCTAGTGTTCCTGTTGTCACCCAGTGACTAATGAGAACTGTTTTTGAGTCAGCAATTGGCTTGGCACAAAAATAGTGAGACAGAGTCTCGTTGGAAGGAGCTTGTGATCTAATTCTGAGCAAGCAGCACATCACACGTGAGAGACCGTCCCAGGAGCCGAGTGACAGGGGCCTGATCACTGCTGGAGCTCACCTGGTGAGCCGCGACAGGGCGTGATCAGTGCTGAGCTCACCCAGAGCCAGCGTGACAGGGCGTGATCAGTGCTGAGCTCACCCAGGAGCCACGCGTGACAGGGCGTGATCGGTGCTGACCTCACCCCAGAGTCATGTGTGACAGGACGTCATCAGTGCTGAGCTCACCCAGGAGTCATGTGTGACAGGGCGTGATCACTGCTGAGCTCACCCAGGAGTCATGCGTGACAGGGTGTGATCAGTGCTGAGCTCACCCAGGAGCCATGTGTGACAGGGCGTGATCAGTGCTGAACTCACCCAGGAGTCATGTGTGACAGGGCATGGTCAGTGCTGAGCTCACCCAGGAGTCATGTGTGACAGGATGTGTTCAGTGCTGAGCTCACCCAGGAGTCATACGTGACAGGGCGTGTTCAGTGCTGAGCTCACCCAGGAGCCATGTGTGACAAGGCATGATCAGTGCTGAGCTCACCCAGGAGTCATACGTGACAGGGCGTGTTCAGTGCTGAAACTCACCCAGGAGTCATATGTGACAGAGTGATGTTCAGTACAGGCTCACTTAAGTCATCGTGATAGAGGCAGCTCACCCAGGAGTCATACGTGACAGGGCGTGTTCAGTGCTGAGCTGTGGCATAGAGAGAGCCCATGCCGAGGGACCTAGGGGCTGGGAGATCAGCACAAGCCACCCTGAGCCAGCAGAGCTCTGCAGAAGGTGGCATTTTCACTGGGACTTGGCGGGTGAGTGGGGCTGGGGCAGAGAGGCAGAGGGTTGTGCATCTCCTGGCCAGCACTGGCACCAGGGAGCTGCCACCGTGGGGAGGCGCTCTTGAGTGGAGCCGATTTTCAGAAGACAGGTATTAGGCAGGGTGGTCCCACACGGAGCAGCGGAGGCAGTCGCGGTTCTTGGCAGATAGAGAGCCAGGTGGATACTCTGCTTTTTCTCAGTCACTAATTAAATGGGTGTCTACTGTAGAGCACAAGGAAGAAAATGCATTCCCATACGCACTCTGTCCAGAGTGAATCCTGCTCACCCTGCACGCCCTGCCGCAGCCCGTGTTCTGCACCTTCCTCACCGCTGAGTTCTCACCACTTCCTGCCCCATCCTGCATCCTCCACTCAATTTCAGCCACACGCATTTTATGCACCTCCAGTGGTGTTCCTGTTTTGCTGATCTAAGTAATACTATGAAGATTATGCGTTTATATGAATTTTCTTAGACCTATTCAGGAAGTAGAATACAAAAAAAAAAAAATTAACCTCATTGAGTTAAAAGTGGGTGGAAAGTTACACGTACAATTTTTACCATCCCCAAAAGTTGTCCGGAGTCCCCAGGCACACGTGTGAGGGTGTTTATCTGATGACACAGCTGGGAGGCGCCCATTTCAAGGAAGATCTGCTGGATCTTGGTGTGTAGCTGGAGACAGGTTAACATCAGAGAGCAGGGGTCTAGGGCGGGCCACAATGGGCTTCAGGTAGGGCAGAGGTGGGAGAGTTGGAGGGGACTAGAGAAGGCGGGTCCTGCTTTCTTGAGTGAAATGCAAACACTGGCTCAGCCCAGTTGGCATTCTCAGAATGCCCACTCACAGTGCAAATAACATGGCCTCGGCAGCCGGAGAGGCCTACCTCTGGAGTTAGTGTCTGGTGGAAGTGAGAGGGTGGGAGGACCAGGGAGAGAAAGAGGAGGGGACAGGGTCGGGACCCGGTCCTGTATTCATGCTCAGTGCCCGGGACCGTGAGCTGACCCCACACTCATTTGAGCTCCAAGAGCCATGGGGAGCAGCTGGTGTAGAGCTTCTGGGTGGACATAGTGGTTTGCCCTGGAGAGGTTTAGACTGCCCTGCTGTCAAGGGCAAGATGTACCCTGTGTGTTCCTGGGTGGGCAGCATGGTCAACAGAGGAGGCGCACCTTCACCGTCTAGCTGGGTTAACTCTGGTATGCAGACGCCCTTGATGGCTCCCTCAAGCCTTGTGGCCTGGGACGAGTGATGTCACTGCTCCGTGCCTCAATCTCCTCTTCCGTGAAACAGGGTCATAATGGCACCTTCCTCCAACAGTGACTGAGAGATGGATGAGCTGTGTTTGGAATCAGGTCTGCCAGGTTGGGGGAGCTGTGGGTGTCTTTTCCTGTCCCCCCACCCTCCTCATCCTCCTCACTGTGGCTCAGGGCTATATTTGCAGAGTCACCACCTCCAGCAGGCGTGGATACCATGTGAGTCAGCATGAGTGGGCGCCTGCATCCTCGTGGGCTCCGGGAGGACCCGGGCAGCAAGCAGACCGTGGAGGAGGCTTTGCTGGGGACGGCTCCTTTGAGGGGCTACTTGGGGAAAATGTCCCTTAACCTCCCCTCCACGACCCCACCATGCCCCTTCCTTCTGACCTGTATGCGCTGCGCGTATGGGTTGGAGCGAGATTCTGAGCACCCGGAGTCATTGCTGAACAGCAGACGCCTGGAGTTCTCGAGGCAAATAGGTCACGTTGTGTTTTCTTTGGAAAGCTTCAACCAGATGATGCCATTGTTAAAATGCCATTAAACTAAACATCATATGACAAGCCAAACAAATCCTTGCATGAATATCAAGAGCTGTAGTGGCCTCCCACGGTGGATGTGTGTGCCCGAAATAACAGCAGGCCCCTTCAGAGGTGAAGGGATCTTTGGATTGGACGTGGCTCCTTTTGGAAGTCACATTCAGTCAGAGCGGAATCTGGTCTCATTAACCAGGGTCAAGCCACGCAGATGGTTAAAGATCCTCTAAGACTGTCTGAGCGTGTGTTTTTCAGTAGCACTGATAGATCTCAGGAGACACTGGCTATATTTTCCCCTGGATGCTTGCTGCTATGTAGGGAAAATGAGAGGATTCAGCCCAGAGTCAACACTAATGATAGGTTACTTTATTTTGAACGAAGCTTTTTATAGTGAGCACAGGAAAGCTGACCTTTTGCTTTTCAAAGTCACTTAGCTTCTGCATTTCCTGGTCTTCTGTTGTTAGGTTACTAATAAGTGTTTAAGGATTTATCTTTTTGGTGTGTAAAATGGTCTTGAAAATCAAACGAGGTATAAAATTGGCAACGTGCATGTCCTAGAAAAAGTGAAGTCAATGGCCAAACTAGAAAATCAGAAATCAGCATCATACTTTCTTTTTTGAAACCATGGCCATGTTCTTTTTGTTGGGACCCCTGCCTGTTGCAAGCTAACAAGCAGGTCCGTGGAAGGCACCGGGCATTCGGGCCACAGGTCAGCGCGGCCCTCCCTCCGCGTGGCCCTCCATCCACATGGAGTAACACTCACCAGGGTATTTCTGCCTCTGCAGATTCCGCGTGCAGCAGCGCCCCAGGCTCTGGACCCAGCTCACCCAACAACAGCTCCGGGAGCGTCAGCGCCGAGAACGGCATCGCGCCTGCCGTCCCCAGCATCCCGGCGGAGGTCAGTGCCAAGCGTTTGTCCTGTGTCCCATGGCGAGAGTCGGACTCGAGACAGATGGGCTCAAAATGACCCCACTTTGCACTTGCCCTTCACTCTTCACCTTCCAGTTTGGGGTGAGGGAAAGTGGCCTGTGAACCGTCCTGAAAAGGACGCAGTTGGAGGTTGCTTAACCCTCCTGCCTTCCTCTCATCACAGACATCTCCTTGCATTATGAACACACTCATTCCAGGCACGTCGGAGACAGCCCTGAGCCTGGTCCTTTCTCCTGACCTCTTCCAGAGCAGATGTCCCTAGATGGTGTCACAGCACAAGCCCACACGTGGCAGGCGCTCTAGGTAGACAGGACCCTGCTGCCCGGCTCACCGTGGTCGCCAGTGTCTGAGGGTGGCTGAGAGGCCATGGGCACGTGGGCATAGTTGCTAAGTGAGACTTAAAATTTTTTATTTCGTATTGAGAAATACACAATGCAATGTTGGCCAACAAACCATGTGTCAGGGCCGACTGGAGCGTCACTCGTGGTCAGCACGGCAGGGCCAGCCAAAGCCACAGAGCGGGGAGCTTTTCCAGGCATCATGGGAACCAGGCATCTCAGACCACAGAGCTCAGCACCCCTGGTCCCCTGCCTTCATCAGACCCCAAGTGGTTCTGGGAAGCACGTTGGCAAGCTAGAGGAGTCAGGGGACGCCTGGAGTCCCCAGGTGGGAAGGATGTCAGAGACGCAGGAGCCGAGCGGTGAGGCGGGGAGGAGTGTGCCCAGGCTGACAGAGTCACACCCTGACCACACCCAGAGGTTTTCCAGGGCAGCAGGTCCCAGGACCTCACTCCATGTATCTTGAGCTCCTTCGCACCCTCTGTCTTTATCCCACACGTGTCTGGAGCGCCTTGTGCCAGGCCCAGGGACGGAGCCAGGCAGGCGGCAAGGACCCGCCCCTCACTCCACACAATGCCCCACTGAGGAGGAGAGGCCACCTCCAGAGCGGGGGAGAAGAGAGAGGCACAGAGAGGCAGTCCGCGGGCTGAGTGGTGCCCTGGGCCTGGGTCAGCCTGACCATGGGGCAGGGTGGGAGCGGGACGCTTTGGCAGTGAGTTTTCTGATAAAGCTGGAAATGCTCTCTGCTTCACGGGGCACAGTTCTACTGAGTGGGAGGTTCCTTCTGAATTCTCTTCAACTTACAGAAGGCTATAATTTATTGAATATAGTTATTGACTTTCCTTCTTAAATATTTAGAAATGGATCCTGCCCTTCCAGAGGACTGGCAAATCTTAGCTGGGATACAGAGGCATGAGTGTTGAGCATTTTCATTTGAGATTTCAAGACCGTTTATGTATAAACATTTTTAGAGACTAGAATTACTGCTAGGAACGAATTTTGCACTTTGCCTCCAGGCTGCTTAATCCCCATTTTCTCTTATTCTTTTTACTTCATACATCGATTTCTTTTATTACCTGTCTTCAGCCTGCCAGCTTCAGTACTTATTTAGATGATTAGAAGTTTTAACAGTCTTCTGTATAGCTGTGGTCATAGCTGAGGTCTACCAGTAATAAGCCTGATAATGCAACCTAGAAATTACTTCCTGCCCTGTGAGGTTAACACTGGTTGCATCTTATTAATTGTGGTCCTAGATACACGTTTTTATTTAAAATGGGGCATTTGTGTACATGGTAGTTACTATTGGAACAGTACCTTGTTTGGGTGGGTCTGCGTCATTCCAGTTCTGTGTTAATTTTTACAAATCGTGATATGTAAATGAAACTACTGGAAATTAATAGAACGTGTAGAAGGAGTTGCAGGAAATACCGAGAGGTGCCATTGTCCATGTCCCACATCAGATGTTCATTAGAGTGGGCAGGGGCAGCCTTTGCATGTTGGATCACACCCAGGCGCCCTTTCTGGGTTTCAGTATCGCTAGAGTTGGACAGGTCTCTGAGAACACCCGTGCTTCACAGCCAGGGGCTGGTTCTCCGTTCCCACGTGGTGCAGAGGCTAGTGAGCCTGCCCATCAGAAGGGGCATCTTGAGTGGATGGGGGCATGGCAGGAGCAGGGTCCTGCCAGCCTGGCTCTCAGCACTGCCTTTTCTGTTCACCCTGGGGCCCCCAGAAACACTACTGTACCTTGAAGGCCCCCGGACCCAGGGAAGCCCAGTGTGCCAGGCATCTCCTCCTTTCCAGGGCCAGGGAAGCCCAGTGTGCTGGGCACCTCCTCCTTTCCAGGGCCAGGGAAGCCCCAGTGTGCCAGGCACCTCCTCCTCTACAGGGCCAGGGAAGCCCAGTGTGTCATCCAGGTACTTAAAGGGACAGCTCCTCTGTGGCCGCTGCTGCTGTTATTTACATGCGTGCCTCGATGCTCTGACTTCAGGCCCGCGGACTTTGCCTCTGAACACATCCTAAGGTGAGGTCCAGGGGGTTCCAGCCTCCCGCAGGGCTCGGCCCCAAGACAGAAGATGGCAGAGCGCCCTGCGATTTATCAAGTGGACCAGTCGGCATCTCCAAGGAACAAATTCTCAGAAGGCTCCTTTAGTTCCAGAAATGGGCTTAAAAAAAACCAAAAAAACAAACAAAAAAAAACCTTGCTTACAGAGGAAATAGAAACTTTGCAAACATTAGAACATCTCCTTATTTTGTTCCCAAATGATAATAACACAAGCACAGTTGTGCTTTCCTGGAAATCACAAGCATTTTCTCTACAGCATAACTTACTGATAATTCTTTACCTTTGACAAAGAAAAAATTGTCTAGGAAAAATGTTTTTCTCAGTAGCCCTTTAATCATTACTTACACAGTGTAATATGTGAGCAAATCTAAAGTGAGTTGCAGGGTTTCCTCTGGGGCAAGGTGCACTGCGAATTTGCTCCTAAGTGAGAAGGCTGGACTTTCTGTTCTGTAGGAACAACCTGAGTGTAAGTGTTTGTCAGGAGAAGCGTTTCTTCATGTCCCCACGGGCCACTCATGTGTCTTTTGGAAAATATCTCTTCAGATCCTTTGCCCACTTTTATATGGGCTGCTTTGGGTTTTGCTGGTGAGTTGCTGGAGTTCCCTGCATATTCTGAATACTCTTGCCTTGTCGGATGAATAACTTGCACGTTTCCCCCTTCCGCAGGTCGTCTCTTCACTCTGGTGATTTTTTTCCTTTGCTGTGCAGAAGCTTTTTAGTTGAGCAGAGTCCCGGTTGTCTGTGTACGTTTTTGTTGCCTGTGCTTTTGAGGCCTTAGTCATAAATCTTCCACAGTAGGCTAGAGGCAGAAACAACCTCAGTGTCCTTCAGTGGATGAATAGTCAGAGAAAATGTGGTGCTGTACACAGTGGAGTACTATGCAGCCATCAAAAAGGATGGAATCCTGACATTTGCAGCAACACAGATGGAACTAGAGGCCTTCATGTTAAGTGAACTAAGCCAGGGACAGAAAGACAAACATCACATTTTCTTATTCATCTGGGGGAGCTAAAAAAGTTGCTGTCGTGGAAGTAGAGAGTATAATGGAATCTGTTTATTCATTGTTAATGTTAATTTCTGGCAAGGGGATTTCTATCTTCCAAACCCCACTAACTAGCGTGATTACAACAACATTTATTCATTCTCTGTTTGCCCATTCATTCAGCAGACATTCCTTGAGTAGCTACTGTATAGGGGATATAGTGGTGATAAACTATTGTCCTTTTTAGCAAAACACATTCATTCTACAAGCAAAAAGATGTTAAATATCACAGTAGTTCAAGTCCTTGGAGACTGTTGCTGCTGACCCTTCCTGTGTGGCCTTCTCATCTTTACTTCTGGCTTATGTTTGCTTTATCCAAGCCCATTCTTTAAAAGTTACATGATCTATAACCTGTTTTTCTAACTTAATGTATCATAAACAAGTGTCCACGTAATCACCCAAGATTGTTCCTAACCCCCAGAGTGTCCTGATGTGCAACGCCCCTCCATTCTGTTAAACCGAGGTGCTGGGGAAGCCACATTGCTCTGCCTTGCCTGCTGGGTGCTCAGCCCCACAGCCGAGGCTTCATGGGCCTCAGGCCTTCTCCTTATTTCTTAACGTTGCATCTGAGAGTGGAGCTCTAGGATCAAAGGTTAGACCGATTTTGAAGGCGTTTGCCGTAGACTGCCATATTGTCCTGCAGAAAGGATGCCACTAAGTGATTTGTAGTCCTCTCAACAGCGTTTGCGGTTCCTCTAGGCCAAGGTGGTATTATCATTTTTCAAAAATGTTTGCCAATTTTTTGGGTTTCAAAATACGTTTCCAGATGACCATAATGTGTTTTCCTGAACGTCTTCCACTCCCTGAGCTCTGCCGTCACTGGTCTTCACCGCATGCTTTTCTCACTGTTAGTTGTTTGATTTGCAAGCGCTCTGTGCTGACCCTCACCTGCCTCCTACGTGGTCGGTATTGTTGTCATCATTGCCTGCCTTTCATAGAAGCAGTTGTTTTATGATTTTCTTTTTATTTTTAATTTGTGTGGGTACATAATGTATATATTTATGGGGTACGTGAGATGTTTTGAGACAGGCCTGCAATGCGTAATTGTCACGTCATGCAGAGTGTGGGGTGCCCATCCTCTCAAGCATTTATCCTTTGTGTAACAATCCAATCATACCCTTATAGTTATTTTTAAATGTACAACTAAATTTTATTTCCTTTTTGGTTTCTGCTTTTCTTGTTGTCTGGAAAGACATGGCCACCTACAAAAAGGCATTGTAAAGTATATTATCCTAGAAACTGCAGAACGGCATTGAAATCTTTCTTGTTGTCTGGAAAGACATGGCCACCTACAAAAAGGCATTGTAAAGTATATTATCCTAGAAACTGCAGAACGGCATTGAAAACTATATTTTCCTAGAAACTGCAGAACGGCATTGTAAAGTATATTATCCTAGAAACTGCAGAACGGCATTGAAAACTATATTATCCTAGAAACTGCAGAACGGCATTGAAAACTATATTATCCTAGAAACTGCAGAACGGCATTGAAAACTATATTTTCCTAGAAACTGCAGAACGGCGTTGTAAAGTATATTATCCTAGAAACTGCAGAACGGCATTGAAAACTATATTTTCCTTGTGAAACTGCAGAACGGCATTGTAAAGTATATTATCCTAGAAACTGCAGAACGGCATTGAAAACTATATTATCCTAGAAACTGCAGAACGGCATTGAAAACTATATTTTCCTAGAAACTGCAGAACGGCATTGTAAAGTATATTATCCTAGAAACTGCAGAACGGCGTTGGAAACTATGTTATCCTAGATTTCCTTCTGACAATATTCTGTGGTAAATAATCAAACTGAGTTGAAATCAACACGCTGATGCTGGACAAGGTGACAGAAGAACTCGCATCGCAGGGAGGAAAGTGGATCCGTGCATTGGGCTTTCGCGTTGTGGTGCGTGTTGAAATCTCATGCTCTCGTTGCTGTATCATTTGCTAAATGTATGTTTGCACTCATATATCAGAACTCAGTGCAGGCTGCCACAGGTGTTTTCGTCGTTGTTTTTCTTGGTGTACATTGCTGATGTTTGGCCATAACAGACTGTGACACTCATCGTGTGTTCTGTCCCCAGGCGAGTTTGGCGCACAGACTTGTGGCGAGAGAAGGCTCGGCCGCTCCACTTCCCCTCTACACGTCGCCGTCCCTGCCCAACATCACGCTGGGCCTGCCTGCCACCGGCCCTGCTGCTGTAAGTCAGCCCCCGTGGGTCCGTGTGGCGTGGGGTGGCGGTGATGGGCCCTTCCACCCCAGCATCGCCGGCTGTGCTTTCCAGGGCACGGCGGGCCAGCAGGATGCCGAGAGACTCACCCTTCCCGCCCTCCAGCAGCGGCTCTCCCTTTTCCCCGGCACCCACCTCACTCCCTACCTGAGCACCTCGCCCTTGGAGCGGGACGGAGGGGCAGCGCACAGCCCTCTTCTGCAGCACATGGTCTTACTGGAGCAGCCGCCGGCACAAGCGCCCCTCGTCACAGGTGAGCACAGATGGGCCTGGGTGCAGCCAGGCTCTGAGGCTACCCGTGCTCTGGACGGTGCCCGGCCCTCGCCTGCCTTTGGAGGAGACGAAGGCACGCCTGTCCCACCCCCACAGCTCCCAAACACACATCCCCGTCACGTAATGTAGCTGCCGTGACTGCAGTGAAAATCCACGCCTCACTCCCAGAGTCAGGTAGATAGAGTGGAAGCGGAAGTCACTTCCCCTTTCTCACCTTTTGGGAGAGGCCACTGGCTCTTGCAGTTTGGGTTTCTGTCTGGACCAAGCTGAGCCAGCACTGGAAGCCCAGAACTGACTCTTGTGGTCAGTTGGTGTTAGCAGAACTTTTACAAATGTGCACTGTCTGGGGGTGTGGTTACATTTAGAAAAATACAATTTAGAGAAAAATGGGAACTTCCTTATGAAATTACATAGCAACAGCAGTGTGAAAGTGTAACTTCAGAAATGAGGGAGCACCGTCCGAGCATGGTGACTCACACCTGTAACCCCAGCAGTTTGGGAGGCCGAGGCAGGTGGATCACCTGAGGTCAGGAGTTCAAGACCAGCTGACTAACATGGTGAAACCCTGTCTTTACTAAACATACAAAAATTAGCTGGGCGTGGTGGTGCACACCTGTAATCCCAGCTACTTGGGAGGCTGAGGCAGGAGAATCGCTTGAAACCGGAAGGCAGAGGTTGCAGTGAGCCAAGATGGTGCCACTGCACTCCAGCCTGGGCGACAGAGCGAGACTCCGTCTCAAAAATAAATAAATAAATAAACAAAGAAACAAATAAATAAATGAGGGAGTCTCTACTACCCCCTTGCCATGCAGGTCATGATTATACATCTTCATAGCTTTGGGTTTGGCTTCCTGGAAATCTGTTGTTGCCAATGAAAAGCTGAAATACCCTCAGAGCTGCACGTGTGAAACTCTGGCGGGGAACTTGGTGAAAACTCAGGCGTGGCGTGTTGTAGGAGGCTGTGCTGCAGGATGCGTGGGACTGGGGGCTGGCTTGGGTGGGCTTGGGCCTCTGGCTTGGCTAGTCTGATGGATTTTGGTGTTTTCTTGTTTCGTGCTGCCCGTGTGTCTCTGTTTAGACAGAGAGGATTCCTTCTTATTCCTTCTTTGCCCAGAAGCCACATGGGGCAATCTTTGTTTTGTGTCTGAGCCCCTTTCTGTTTTTTTCTCCAGAAGCTTGAATTCGTGTCCCTGCCTGTCTAGAGCAAAGGAGCCCATGGTGTAACGAGGGAGGGGGCAACCCTCACAGTGCCTCCCTGAGCTCCGGCCACCGTGGCAGGCACGGGGATCTCTCTGGAGGAATGGATCTGAGATTGCGTCTGAGTCTCTTAGATGCTGTAGAGCAGCTAGCACGAGGGTGGGTAGTGAAGGACACCTGAGTTTCTCTCTTGTATCTTTTAAAAACGTAAAATATGCCTGATCCTTCAGGATTCCTGGGATTCATTTGGTCAGAGACGTTTCTGTTTGTCACTCATCTTCTTTCCTTCCCTAAATCAGTTTATGATGCGCGATTAAGTAACGCGTAATCCTGTGTATCAGGTGTTTGGAAAACAGCCTTTTTGATAGAACCTGAATATTGAGTTTGCATGGATCTCACCTCTCTGAGAAACGTGCTGAACCCGGCATTGCTTCTTCCTTGTGTACAGTCAGTCCTCTTTTCCTCCCAGGTGCAACTTGCTCATTGCCATGGGGACCTGCCCCGGTGCCCTCCCCAGGCTCTGTAGTGCCAGGGGGCCCAAGCATGGCTGCCCAGCTTGCTCTGGCTTTGCTTTATACCTGTGCCCAGCAAGCGCCTCCAGTCCCGTGCCGCCACCTCCAAAACTCTGCAAGCCCCTTCTTCCTGCATGGCCTCCCCAGGTTGCCAGCGGCTCATCCTGCAAACCCCCTGGCTGGGAGCCTCCGAGCCAGTGTCACGTGTGCAGCGTAGTCCCAGCTTCCTCCTGCTCCATGACCCTGGGAAGCCACTCGTGCTCTGTGCGCCTCGTTTTCCCATCTGGGAAGCGAGGATACTCCGCGGTCTGCCCCCGTGCGCCTGATGAGGGGAAGTGGGCTGTGCACTCATATGCCCCTGCAGGTGTTGGCATCGTTGCCTTATTCTTCTTAACCTGCCACCTCCCATACTCTCTCACTGCCCCAGCCGGCCCCGTCTGTCCTTCTCAGGACCCTCCCCCAGCCCTGCCATGAGTAAGGCCCTCATTTGGAACCTGCTGGGATTGCCCCATCCTCTTGTGGGAAGAAGCCTCCTGCACAGGTTCCTGCCCCTCCAATCTGTCCTTCTGCAGCCACTGGACTCTCCTTGAAGGCCTGGAGGCCCCCACGCTGTCTAGAGCAGTACTGGCCAGGTCAGGAGCCACCAGCCACGGGGAGCTGCCAATAGAAAGTCAGAGTTAGAATTCAGTTGGCCAATAGAAAGTCAGAGTAGAATTCAGTTGGCCGGGCGTGGTAGCTCACGCCTATAATCCCAGCAATTTGGGAGGCCAAGGCGGGCGGATCACAAGGTCAGGAGATCAAGACCATCCTGGCTAACACGATGAAACCCCGTCTCTACTAAAATTAAAAAAAAAAAAAAAAAACCCGGGCGTGGTGGCAGGTGCCTGTAAGTCCCAGCTACTCCGGAGGCTGAGGTAGGAAAATGGCCTGAACCTGGGAGACAGAGGTTGCAGTGAGCCAAGATCATGCCACTGCACTCCAGCCTGGGTGACAGAGTGAGACTCCATCTCAAAAGAAAAAAAAAAAAAGAATTAGAATTCAGTTTCTCAGTCACGTGTGCACCACATCCAGTGCACGGCCACAGCTGCCTGCGAATGTTCTCATTGTCACAGAAGGTCCTGGCAGGGCGGCACTGGCCTGGAGTGAAGTCCCAGCTTGTGAGCAGGAACTCCAGCCTTGTTCTACAAGCCTCGTTTCTCTTCCCTAGTCCGGCACAGCAGCCAGGCCAGCCAGCTCAATGCTGGACCAGGCCGCAGCCGGCCCCCAGAGCCAAGGCTCTTTCCCAGGGCCCTTTTCTCCATCAGACATGGTTCATCTGCCCCCTCGTCCCAGGCCTCCATCCCTGCCCCAGCCCTGCCTTGTTGCTCCTTCCCTGGACCACGCTGCATCTTTGTTTCCGTGTTCTGCCCTTTCCTGCAGTTGTTGATGAACTCCTGCTTGAGTTGGTCTCTGGACAGCAGTGCCTGTGTTTTCCTGGCCCACAGACAGACCCACCTTCTCGCGGGTAATCATGGTGCACAGGTGAATAGGATATCAAAGCTAGAACAGCCCTCCAGTCACCAATGCTTTGAAACAGAGGCCTCTGTGGGTGAGGTCACCAGTGGAAACCAGAGGGGTGATCCATGGTCCAGGGTGTCCTGGAGCTGCCTCCTACATGCCACATACCTCCAGTCAGCCCCTCTCCACACCGCTCCAGGCAGCTGCTCGCCAGTCACAGGCTTGGCGTGCCTCTTCTATATCCCTGTTTATGTGCTGCTCCCGTGGTCACTGTGGACTCAGATCTTTGCAGAGTGGCTGCTACATTCTCGGAGGTTAGTCTCTGCATAACCAGCTGAGGCGGGGAGTGGAGCTCAGGAGCCCATTCCTGGGTGAGGAGAGTGTGCAGAGCCCTATGCTGCTGCTTTAGTTGGACACAAAACTGTGGGCATGATCATTGCCTGGGCAGCCCAGCTAAGTCCTCTGTGGGGCCCGTGTGGCTGAGAAGCAGGACTTTGAGAACCGTGTAACCGTGTAACCTGCTGTCAGGACCCAAGAGACCCAGGAGGATCTTGGTAGTGCAGCATGTGGAGGAGAAGGCTGGAGACCAGGGCTGTGCCACCGGTGGGCCTAGGGAAGGTTTCCCGGAGAAGCGGCATCAGAGCTGAGATCTCAGTAGGAGCCTGCAGGCGGAGAGGGAAGGGCCCAGGTAGAGGGAGGTGTGTGTGCCTGCTGGAGGTGACCTTGTCACAGATCTTTCTAGTATCCTGGCCACACACTCAGAGCATGCCACCAGCGTCTTGAGGCTACTGCCTTCCTGAACTGGCAGTGGAGATCCACTGTCCCGCGGTCACACACTGAGTGGAGGGTGCCCCTGGTTTCTGTGTTAGCAATTGCGTGCTACCGTTTAGGCCTGATTTCCCCCAAAAACAGCAAGTCCCAGGAAGGGCTTGAGCACAGCTGGCCGTGGTTCATGTCCCATAACTGGCACACGAGGCTGTGGTTCTCAGCCCTGGCCTGGCCTCAGCTCCGTCCCCAGAAGCTCAGACAGACGCTGATTGGTCCAAGTGGGTCCAGAGCACGCAGATTGTTCCTTGGGCGGCCAGGATTACAGACGGTGAGTCGGATCTAACTCTTGCCTGATTTACTTCTCAATGGAAGGATTTTAAAGAATTTCACAGAGAACAAGCAATGGAAATACACCAGATGGACTTTTAAGGACTCAGGCACCCTGAATTGTTCAACTCATGTGAATTTATCGCTTAAACAGATTCCAGTGTGTGAAGACCAACTCTTCAAATCTGGGTCTGGAACTTGAGAGTAACCCAGTCTTTCGCCTTCTTTTTTCTTAAATCCCCATACCTGGTGGGGTGTGTCTAAGTGATGCGTTTGCAAACTCACTAATTAGTTTGGGTATTGCTGAGCAGGGTGTGCTAAAACTTAGACCCTGGTTGACTGGGTACATTCCAGGGTGCTCCCTCAGGAACTGTCATTGCAGTTACTGTGATTGCGTGTTAGAGTGTGGACTTCCAGGGGAGCTGGCCACTGAGCACAGTTCAGGCTCAGCGCCAAGTCCCTCCAGGAGGAGCAGGAGCCAGCAGCCGTAGGGACACAGCCGTCCAGCACCAAGAACCAGGGTCAGCTGTTGCTCCTGCACTGGACACATGGAGGGGCTTCTGCCAGTGCTCTGGGCGGAAGGAGCAGAAGCTGGGAAAACCCTGGCTAAGGTGCCCAGTGGAGGAGCCCAGAGCAAGGGGCCACTGGGACCACAAGAGCCAGGCTCTGCCCCACACCCCACCCAGCACCACACAGCCAGCCCCTGCAGTTGGGTCACCGACCACAGAATTGTATCCTGATGGACTAGGATTTTATGCTCGAAAGTCCCTGACAGTATATCCTGAAGACCACATCATGGTCTGTCATCAGAAGCTCTTGTTAATGATCTCAGGGATCCAAACTGGAAACCACCAAGCCAGCAAATCACATTGCTCTGCAGAGGCCAGGGCACCGCTTTTCAGGACACCCACGGGTAAGGTGTCCCCGTGTGTGGCGGCCCTGGGGTTTGCACCCTACAGGCAGCAGAGTGAAATTCTGAGTGGGTGAGATAGACTGAGAGAGAGGGAGGGGCTGGCCCCTGGGGAGTGCAACTGGAAAAGGAACAGGGCCAGTCTGCACAGGGGTCTCTGCTCACGCCAGTTCTGAAAGTGAAGCCCTGTTCCCATGGGGCATAGGCCTGTGTCCCAGAGTGAAGCTGGTGGCCTGGGAAATCCCTGGGCCCATGCAGAGGGTGGCGGGAGGCAGAGACGAAAAGGAGCTGGGGAGCGCTGTGCAGCCCCCAGTCACACTGCTGGCTCGAGTCACTTGTTCCTTATCATGTGTCATGCTGGAAAGCTGAATCCTATGAAATTGGCATGTCCTTCTCCTCCTCTGCAGAGCGTCAGGCCTGGGCAGGGGACTGTGTAGCTCATCACCGCCTCCACCCCTGAATGGCATGCACACTAAGGCTCTGGGGGAAAACAGTGCTAAGGAAAATGTCTTTCAGCTTCCTGTTGCTTTCTGAGAAGAGACCTTTTTAGCAGCTACGTAGCCTTGCGTCCCCTGAAGGCAGCTTCGTGTGACTGACTTCCTTATTTCTTCCATGAAATAGTGCAATCCCACGTAATACCCACATCAACAATTGATACATTCTGAAATGCCTTTTTTTTTCTTTTTCCTTTTTTTTTAAGACCGAGTCTCGTTCTGTCACCCAGGCTGTAGTGTATTGGCATGATCTGGGCTCACTGCAACCTTGCCTTCCAGGTTCAAGCGATTCTCCTGCCTCAGCCTCCTGAGTAGCTGGGATTGCAGGCGTGTGCCACCATGAGCAGCTAATTTTTGTATTTTTAGTAGAGACGGGGTTTCGCCATGTTGGCCAGGCTGACCTCAGGTGATCCACCCACCTCGGCCTCCCGAAGTGCTAGGATTACAGCCACCGCGCTCGGCCTCCCGAAGTGCTGGGATTACAGCCACCGCGCCCAGCCTGAAATGCTCTCTTTATGATGCTTCACTTTTTTCTTTTTTTAACCTTTTCAGGGAATAGTTCTGACATAATACCCATGTCAACAACTGATAATTCTGAAATACCTTCTTTAGGATGGTTTACCTTTTTCTTTTTTTTTAACGTTTTCAGGGAATGATTCTGAATGGATTTTTAGTCATTCACTTTAATTTAGTAGCCAGGCATTGATAATAAAATTTAAGATAATGTATCTTTCCAGAAAGTTGTGGGGTTGGGTGAAAAGGGATGGTGGGTTAGAGAACACTGGTGAATAACTTTTGAAAAGGTAGCGAAGAGCAGGCTTGCTGGGGTCTTGCTGGGGGTCTTGTTGGGGGTCTTGTTGGAGGTCTTGTTGGGGGTCTTGCTGGGGGTCTTATTGGGGGTCTTGTTGGGGGTCTTGCTGGGATCTTGTTGGGGGTCTTGTTGGGTGTCTTGCTGGGGTCTTGCTGGGGGTCTTGTTGGGGGTCTTGGGGGTCTTGTTGGGTGTCTTGCTGGGCCTTGCTGGGGGTCTTGTTGGGGGTTCATTGGGGGTCTTGCTGGGGGTCTTGTTGGGGTCTTGTTGGGTGTCTTGCTGGGGTCTTGTTGGGGGTCTTGCTGGGGTCTTGCTGGGGGTCTTGTTGAGGGTCTTGCTGGGGTCTTGCTGGGGGTCTGGCTGGGGTCTTGCTGGGGGTCTGGCTGGGTTTAGTCTGGATGTGTCCTTTGTGTTTGCGTATCACATAGTATTTCTTAAATTTAGACAGCCCCTGCAAAGGGACTTGAGAAGCACTAAGCTGCATGCATGGCTCTCACTGGGAGGCCTGGGCTCCCCTAAACCTGATGACACACCCAGCTGCCCGGCGAGCGCCGACATCAGTGTCCTGGGGGAGGGACATGACAGGAGCTGCCACTTGCTGGCAGGCTACCTTGTATCCCTGGAGATCCCGTAGCCCTTGCAGCTGGCACGTAGCCCCACCTGGGGGCAGGAACAGCAGGCTGCCTCAGGCAGATGCCGAGTTCCAAAGAGTCCCCCACCAGGGCCTCCAAGAGCTGGTTTGGTCACTTCCTTTGTCATTTCACCCGGTCATGTGCCCTTGAGTGGGTCAGGGTCATTTTTACCCTGAGCAGCATTGTTTAGTGTTTACTCCCCTCAGGTTACCAGGGCAACACTTCACAGAGCAGGGCAGAGGGTTCATTAGGTCCTTTTGCCCAGAAAACCAAGGAAAAATGTTAAACTACCTAAACCAACAATTAGCAATATATACATATATCTCTCTCTTGATGAAAAGCATGCAGAAGGAAAAAGTGTACTTGACTAGGTCACGTTTTAAATCAAGATACAGATGCCAATTAAAGCAAGATCATCTCCTATCAAAATGGATTCTTTTAATCAAAAAAATACAGGGTTGGTGACGGTGTGGTGAAGTGGGTATCCTCCACTCAGCTGGCAGGGATTAGCCACATCTTTTCAGAAAGGGGTTTTGACAATATGCGTCAGGACTTTTCAAAGTGTTCATGCCATCTTTGTGTATAAAACCAGTGTTCAGAGAGACCTTAAAATGATGTCAACCCTAAGGACAATTACTTTTCTCACAACTCAGGCTGTCTTTGGAAATACCTGGAGGCTCCAGAACCGTGGCAGCCTTCCTCAGCACACTGGTGGCCCTCTCTCCCCTCCCACTGTGCTGTTCAGGCCGAACCCCACCTTTCTAGGGCCTGTGGCCCCCAGGAACAATTGTGTGGTAGCCACTTTTGGGAAGGGCTTCCTCTTTGAAACCTGCCACACAGGACTCCTGACGTTTCCTGTGTCGACCTGATTTTCCATAGAAAATTGCCTCCAAATTACGGTTCCTGTAGTTCCAAAGCACCAACTCATGGCCCCAGCCTCAGCTGGAAGGGGCCCAGTTAGCGAGCCAGCTCTGGGGCACCAGGGCAGAGCGCCTGGGCTGGCGGGCACAGGGTGCAGTTGTCTCCATCACTTACTCAATAGCCCTCTCTCCCTCCTCTCTTCTTCCTCTTCCCCTCTGCTGTTTCTTCCTCCAATTATCTTCAGACTGGTATCTTTCAGGCCTGGGAGCACTGCCCCTCCACGCACAGTCCTTGGTTGGTGCGGACCGGGTGTCCCCCTCCATCCACAAGCTGCGGCAGCACCGCCCGCTGGGGCGAACCCAGTCGGCCCCGCTGCCCCAGAACGCCCAGGCTCTGCAGCACCTGGTCATCCAGCAGCAGCATCAGCAGTTTCTGGAGAAACACAAGCAGCAGTTCCAGCAGCAGCAACTGCACATGAACAAGGTGGGTTTGCCGGCTAAGTGCTCCCGGGCCCCAGGGTGGCTGTGTGCTGCACGCTTCAGCCTCAGTCTTCAGCGCTGGCCCCTTTCTGACCTTGAGGGGGGGCATGAGGCAGAAAGAGGGAACTGGGGAGGCACATGCTCTGGCCCACGGCACAGAGCTGGGCAGGGGCAGAAGGGATGCTGCTGGGAGCTTGGGCTCAGGAACAGATCACCTGCAGCGGGACGCGCAGGGCCAGTGCCCTCTCCCAACAGCCCACATGAGTTCAGCTGGACCACGTCCCGCCCGTGGTGGCGCATCAGTGCCAGCGAATGGAATAGTCTACTTGGGCAACACTTTTTTCTTGGGTTTCCTAAGGCCATTTACTAAACATATCTTTAAATAAACCAGCAACCCACAGTGCCCATCTTCCAAGCCATCCAGCACTTGCAGACTGCCTGAGTGCATAAGCAGAGTGTACAGGGCCAGGGGGGCCCGGGTGGAGTTGTACAGGTGCAGAACTCCAGCAGGAAGTTGAAGGGACACTGTCAGAGCTGGTTCTGGGCCCGGGCCAGCCCACAGAGGTTTACGTAACCTACAGACATCTTGAAAGTCACTCAGATAAGTCCATTTTCAGGAGGAGTTAGTAAGCAAGGCTAGCGTTGCGATGCTGGTGAAGAGGAAAACTAACGTGCTGAAAATGTGTTGATCAAATGCTGGCATTTGAAATAGAGCAACTTTAAGATAAAGAGATGAGATGAGCTGCTGTGGACATAGTCCAGCAGTTCCTCAAAAGGTTGGACACAGCCACCACATGGCCCCACAGCTCTGCTTCCAGAGGTGAAAGCACACATCTACACGTAAACTCACTCGGACATTCACAGCAGCCTGAGTCCCTGTGTCAGGCCATTCCCGCACTGCTGTAGAGAAACACCTCAGACGGTGTGATTCATAAGAAAAGAGGTCTGATTGGCTCCTGGTTCTGCAGGCTGTAGAGGAAGCCTGGTGCTGGCGTCTGTTTCTGGGGAGGCCTCAGTCGTAGCGGTAGGCAAAGGGGGAGCGGGCGCATCACTTGGCAAGAGCAGGAGCAAGGGGTGGGGAGAGGGGCCACACACTTCTAACCGACTGGACCTCACCAGAACCCACTCACCAGTGAGGACAGTGTTCAACCGTTCATGCCAAATCCACCCACGTGATCCGGCCACCTCCCGCCAGGTCCCACCTCCAGTATTGGGGGCTACGATTCAGCAGGAGATGTGGGCAGGGACACAGATCCAAACCGTATCAACTGTAATAACTACAGATCCAAACCGTATCAGCTGTAATAACTATCAGTCGCAATAGCCACATTACATGGCAATAGCCCAGGTGTCCATCCTGTGATCCGCGGCCACACGCCAGCACACCAGAATGTCAGCCATAAAGCGGAATGACACTGACATGCTGCAGCACGGAAAAGCCTTGGAAGCAGGGTGCAGGCACAAGAGGCCGCGTGTGGTATGAGGAAGCAGGGTGCAGGCACAAGAGGCCGCGTGTGGTGTGAGGAAGCAGGGTGCAGGCACAAGAGGCCGCGTGTGGTGTGAGGAAGCAGGGTGCAGGCACAAGAGGCCGCGTGTGGTGTGA